CAGCTTAGACAGGGGCTTGATATCACTTAGGCTAGCGGATTTAAAGGGGCGTGAGGGGCGCACACCCTTAAAATTTTTAAAATATGATGTGATTAACATTATTAATGCCATACTTTGATATATATCTAACCAATTCCACTATTTTTGTTTCTGGTTTTACTATTGAAATTACACAAAAACTCAGGAGCTTCCAGGGGCTTCGCCCCCTAAGCCCCCACCATTCAAAGTGTGATATGACTAATATTATTTCATGCCATACTTTGGTATACCCACTGGTACGGAAGCGTATTAGTGCCACTTTGACACTTCACTTTTTTTAATTTTTACACTTTAATCTGTAAATTTTACGCTTTAATCTGTAAAATTTACACTTTAAAGTGTAAAATTTACACTTTAATCTGTAAAATTTACACTTTAATCTGTAAATTTTACACTTTAAAGTGTAAATTTTACACTTTAATCTGTAAATTTTACACTTTAAAGTGTAAATTTTACACTTTAATCTGTAAAAGTTACACTTTAATCTGTAAAATTTACACTTTAATCTGTAAATTTTACACTTTAATCTGTGAATTTTACACTTTAATCTGTAAATTTTACACTTTAAAGTTCAAATTTTACACTTTCATCTGTAAAATTTACACTTTAATCTGTAAAATTTCATTTAATCTGTAAATTTTACACTTTAAAGTGTAAATTTTACACTTTAGTCTGTAAATTTTACACTTTAAAGTGTAAATTTTACACTTTAATCTGTAAATTTTACACTTTAATCTGTAAAATTTACACTTTAATCTGTAAAATTTACACTTTAATTGTTTAATCAAATAGTCAAATAAGCATAATCATACATCCTTAGTAACGCATTTTAAAGCCAACAGACCGTTAATATTGCAAGATAATATTTAATTCTGATTTTCAATTTTACAATAAATGCAAACTAGTGCTAATTGTAACGGGGACCGTTACAGATGTTCCCCAAACCCTCCCCATCTCCCTTTTGGTGCCATATTCCCTATAAGCTTCATTAAATAAGACAATCTTTATGCATTTGAGACTTTAAGAACGTTTACCCAGATGGGTACCAAGTTCATTCAAATTTTAGCATTGCACGCGTGCGCATGTTAATGCATGTGGGTAATGACCATATCATCTTGTTTACACAATCTATATAATTAAATTTACTAAATATTAAAGTATTTAATCCAAAAGTATTAAAAAATACGCTCATTCAAGTGTTTTTTTTTATTTTACTAATTTCACGTGCACGCCCGTGCATACATGAGCATGGTGACATACCTTCTTGTAGAAGTCCATTACATCTATCTATGTTCTAAATCCCACTCCGTTTGGTTGAAAACCAAGGGAGTTATAGCTGATTAAAGTTTCAGCCAATCAGATTGCAGCGTACGTACACGCACGTGTATTGATGTGCTTGGTGATCATACCTTCTTGTAGAAGTCCATAATATCTATCTATGTTCCAAATCCCATCTTGTTTGGTTGAAAACTAAGGGAGTTATAGCTATTTAAAGTTTCAGCCAATCAGATTGCAGCGCACGTACACGCACGTGCATGGATGTGCATGGTGACCATACCTTCTTGTAAAAGTCTATTATATCTATCAATGTTCCAAATCCCATCCTGTTTGGTTGAAAACCAAGGGAGTTGTGGCTATTTAAAGTTTCAGCCAATCAGGTTGCAGCGCACGTGCATGCACGTGTTTTCATGAAAATTGTTATATTTCATATTGTAGGATATCCTAATGCATGGCTATGTTCAAAATTTCAAATGATTTCATCAAAAAACAAGAAAGATTTTGAGACTTTAGTTTCAGCCAATCAGAGCGAAGCACACGTGCATGCGCGTGAGATCTTGCTATTTTGACCATGTCATATTGTCTATGCTACTACTATATCCTTATATTATGAGTTTCAAAGCATTTCATCAAAAAGGTAAAAATATACGCCTATATCAATTAAATCGGTCATTTCACGTGTTGCTCGTGCGCGCTCTTGCAAGCACGTGCACACAAAATGGCATGTTGACAATGTCATCTTACCTACATTTATAATATGTCTATATATGATAAAAATCAAAGCATTACATCGAAAAATGTAAAAGTTACGGCAATTTCAAGTATATTGGTCATTTCACGTGTTGCACGTGCGCGCTCTTGCAAGCACGTGCGCGCAAAATGACCTTCGTTCCGCAAATCTACATAACATGCCTACTTACCCTAAAAAGGTTTCCCCTTAATCGGATGTGTACTTTACAAGATCATTCGCGGACAAAATTTTCCCGAGAAGAAAAATAATAATAATAAGAAACAGAGTAAAAACAATATGTTCCCCAACTTCGTTTGGGGAACATAATGATAAGCAAATTAGTATTACTGATACAAGTAAAACTTTTCTTAGAATATAAATGAAGAGCATATCAAACATATGCATACATGTATATATTCTAGATGAATTTTATATTGATATCAAAGTATGTTTATATTATGTTTATATTTTGGAACAGCAATGAATTTTATATATTTTGATTCAATGACGTTTCTTTGATGCTACGTTAAAAAAATGACCGTAATTTTAATATATTATTTCATCATGACCATAGAACCATATACTTGTAATATCAAACTTAACTGCAAATAAAAAAATCTTTGAGATATTTATTTTTACTGTTAATTACACTGTTCATATACTAATAAACATGTACGAGTACATGTAAAATAAATATATGCAAACAATTGTAAACATCACAGTTTAATACTTTTTTCATGTTTCAGAGGTAAAACATCACAAATCGACCGTTTAATCATAACTGATAACAGTTTAGGTTGTTTAAAATAAAGTGTAAAATTTACAGATTAAAGTGTATATTTTACAGATTAAAGTGTAAAATTTACACTTTAAAGTGTAAAATTTACAGATTAAAGTGTAAATTTTACACTTTAATGTGTAAAATTTACAGATTAAAGTGTAAATTTTACACTTTAATCTGTAAAATATACTCTTTAATCTGTAAATTTTACACTTTAAAGTGTAAAATTTACACTTTAAAGTGTAAAATTTACAGATTGAAGTGTAAAATTTACACTTTAAAGTGTAAAATTTACAGATTAAAGTGTAAATTTTACAGATTAAAGTGTAAAATTTACACTTTAATCTGTAAAATTTACAGATTAAAGTGTAAAATTTACAGATTAAAGTGTAAATTTTACACTTTAAAGTATAAAATTTACAGATTAAAGTGTAAAATTTACAGATTAAAGTGTAAATTTTACAGATTAAACTGTAAAATTTACAGATTAAAGTGTACAAATTAAAAAAAAGTGAAGTGTGCAAGTGGCACTAATACGCTTCCGTACACTGGGGACCTAAAGGCGGCCCTCTGACCCCCTGCTTGAACGAAGTTATCAACCCCCCCCCACCCCCCCCCCCCGTATTACATATCCTGTATTCGCCCATGGATATTACATGTAGTACATCTTAATATTTCTTTATATAACACACTTGGCCTTTGGAACTGGGGGGTTGGAGGGTTGGCGATAAATAGAATACTACAGAAAACTTACGTACTACATGTATATGCTGGTTCCCCCTCAATAAAACCGTCTGATTACCTTTTTTATTATTATTTTTTTTTTTTGCTTGTCAAAGAATTTTGGTATTTCTGGAATTTGAGCCCCCCACATTTAAGTTTGTCTACGCCTCTGATACTATATTATAAAAAAAATCATTTCCTTTGTTCAGACTTTCAATAGTTTGATGTAAAAAATAAAATTTCAAATTTAGACTCAATGAAAAAGGTCAAATACTGTTGTTGAATATTCAACGAGTATTTTTTAAGTGTCTCCATGTATATTGCTACGTGAGAGTATACAAGAAGATGGTCTTCAAATCATTTTTCACAGTAGAAAATCACAGCATATGTAAATGCAAGAAACATATTGACGCAAGCTTCAAAAATCGGCCGCAAACCAATTACATGTAATTGTTCCTTTGAAGTTTCATGAAGCAATTATAGAAACTGAAATGTGTGATCTGTTTTTAAAATATCTTATATTTTATCTGTAAATATATCCTCGTGACATTAAACACCTGCGTACGACACTGCATGATTTTCTTCATAGGTAATACATGTTTAGTATTGCATGTATACGCAAACTACCCCTGGTCCTCTGCGTCTCCACACTCAGTCTGGTACAAACGAATTCTGGCGGAAGTTTGATGTTTAAGTAATATTTACATTAAAAGTGAAAAACTTAAGTTTAAAGTTATCTACAACTAGAGATAGTTTTACTTTAATAAAAAAACACATCAAATATGTGGGGTTCCTTGCTCTCTTTTAAAGGAAAAAAGTTAAAAAAAAAAAAAACAAACAAACAAACAAACTCCCTCTAGATCTGCCACTACATTTCTTTTTGAGGTGTAGCGGGAATATTCTTGGCACTTTGTAAAAACACGCGTTATCCTAGTCTGCTAGAGCAAAATCTCGTAATATTCTGTCTTTTAATAAATGAACATTTCATCATATTTTCGAAAATTCTCCGTAGAAAATGTTTAAAATTATATATACATGTGTACACGTCATTTTAAAATAAACACGTACAACAAATCCTGTTTAAATAGAGAAAGTAAAATTGTTTATATTTAACGCGGTCTTTGCTTTAGAATATGCCTAACACTTGTCCTAATATTCTCCGAATCTCAGTCATGTTAAAGTTTGTCAACCAGGATTGGATGAATTATTTACCCCATTGTTTCTAAAAGTTTTCTAATCTAATGATTATTGTGCGTTTTTCTGAAACATTTAGACATTCTTTTTTATATTCTATTATATGAATGTTAAATATTTTTTTTATTTGAATTGTTTTAATTCCGCAGACACGCACGCCGACTTCAAACTTTCATATCAATTAACCGACCTCCTCCTGGCGGCCGGTAATAATAGAATAATCAGAATTTGCTAAAACTAAAATATTTCATATAGATCCAAAGAACAGTGCTGTGTATATAAGGTGGGGAAAGAAAAGTTGTCCCTCGACAGCCCAACTCGTCCATTCTGGTATGTATGACACATACTAGTATTTGAGATATTTATTATTTTCGCACATTTTGTGAACCTCGCTACTACAGGGACATCATATATCTACAGGTTATGTAGGAGGATCATTCTATACTCACACCGGCGCTGCAGTTGATCCCCTTTGTTTGCCAAGAAATCCCGAGTGGGGTAAATACAAAGATGGAGTTGAGGTGTATAGAGGTTATGTGTATGGGTCAGAATATGAAACAAATGATATACAATTGACAAACCTTCATGATCACAATGTACCATGTGCTGTATGTCTTCTGAGAGATAAATCAACTACAACAGTTTTTCCGGGTATGTCATAAGATTGCAGCAATAAACTGTAATTGATCTAAATTCATACCGAATAGAAAATTTAAATTATCGCGTTGAATAATGCTTTAAAGTAAAGAATTTAAAAAAGAAAACATACCCTATATTTTCTTCATTTAATCAATACTTCAATCATTAAAGAATGTTGATAAGGGCAATACCTTTTTCTCAGGTATCTTTGCTCAGACAATTTCTTTAGAACATGTAACGTATACATGAAATATATGGAGATAACGAACTATTCAAGCTCCAAACTCCATTCAAACAGTACAAATCGGGAGCAGAGTTCATACGGACCTCTATCTAATGTAAAACGGATTCCTTAAAATTCATAATTTAAAAATATTTATACAAAGGGATAACTTTTGAACTTTCAACATCAGAGTAAGATATTTGAATCGGTTTTTACATTTAAAAAGAACAAAAAAACAAAAAAAAATTTTTTTTTAAGTATTAAAGGGCCTTATTGTTGCTGATACTTGTGCGAGGGTAAGAAAACGTTTTCGACCCAAGCCAAAATAACACATGTATTTCAAAACATTTCCTTGGTATTTTGTTTAACCTGCAACATTTTTTTTTGACTTTTGACTTCCGAAACAAATATTTCATTAGATTTAGGCATATACCGGTATATATTTCTCCTAGCCGTTGAACTATGACGAAATGGCGTATATGGGCGGCGGAAAGGGTAAAAAAGACGTTTATGCAAAACTAACAACTAATTTTATAAACATAATGAAATACAAAACAGACAACCTTAAAAACAAAATCAACAGACTCGTTTGCAAAATCAACAGACTCCGATGCGAAACCAACAATCACCAATGCAAAACCAACGATTATTCACTGAATTGTCGCTAGATGTATTACCTGAATTAACGCTAGATGGCACGCAAGTTTTTCTACGTCATCATTATTTTTGTACTATCATAGGAACGTAAATCACGCGAAATTATATCAGGATCCAATTGGTAAACCTCGGAATGTATTAAAGAATATATTATCGGTATCGAAATTATTTATATATAATAAGGGATCATATACTACCGGTATATAGAACATTTTATACCCATTTTTATCTATCAGATTGACCCCGTGTATATTTAAGGGAATAGCTTGAGTACTTTAAAATATTTATAAAGAAAAAAAATTAAGGCAAGATGTGTGTATCCATGTGTTTTTTTTTGGGGGGGGGGGGGCTTAAAAATAAAGTGAAGGAATGTAGGACAGCGATTACTCCAGGTTTGGGCGATACTGTTTTCGGACTCGGAGAAATTAGGCAAAATGCACATGGGACAAGGTCTACTGCGCATACCATGGCAAAGATGCCACCACATCTTGTACAGGAGTACAATTAAGTCTCATCCTTGTAGCCTTATAGTGTAAATTTCATTGAAGGACCCAGAGGGGGGGGGCCGGTGGTTGGAACCCCCTTTTATTTTTGTACACAGAGAGAAAAATTTCTGTATAAATATAGAATAAGTCTAAAATTTTGAATAAATGGAAAATCTTTGTCCGCTCTGCTCTGTAGATCTGTAGATTTTCGCGTACCTTCCTCCGTGTACCTTCCCAACCCCGGCTAAGAGTTACTCACAAGTAACATGCAAAAAAAAAAAATGCAGATAGAGGGGATTTATTTTTTCTGAGAGTAATTTTTTGCTGTAGTTTTAATTAATATTTTGATTTGGAAGCTCCCTCCACAGTTTTTATTGCCGGAAAATACGCAGATTTAAGCATTACATGAAAGTATATAATGCAGTCCGAAGAGAAAAGTTACAGAAAGCCCCCTCTACCCCCAAAGAAGGACTTAGAGTGTGGTGGGTTTTTTTTGTTTTTTTTTGTTTTTTGTTTTTTGTTTTGTTTTTGTTTTTTGTTTTTTGTTGTTTTTTTTTCCTTGTCAACTGTTTTTGGAGCCCCCTTTCTTATAAATACATGTAGTTACGGACTTCAAGTGGTCCTATTGTGATTCTATGCATGAGTGCTGGGGCATCGACCTTTCGAAAATTGCTGGATCCGCCCCTGAATTTCTTTTACGGTTTCAACTATACTGAGAGGAAAAAGAAACGCATAGTAAAACTTTTGAATAAAATTAAAACTATCCTTTCGAATATGTTTTCCAGATTTATTATCAAACATTTTTAATTCATGTTTAATCAACAAGTTACCAAAATCTTGTGAGACTTTGACAGAAACTTCATGAGTAAATGATATCGATAACCCCCCCCCCCCCCCCCAAATATCATCATCTCCCTTGCGCAAAAAGTACCAACCTTGATTATCCTGTTTCTTAGAGCATTTATCTTTTCTGTCCTATATAATTCATATCTGTACAGGCGCAGATCCTGTTTTTCGGGGGGGGGGGGGGGGTCCACCCCAATAAAAACAATCCAGCCCATATATATTTTTTTTTGATCCGCGCACATAGATCGCTAAACAAGTAGCAATTAATGCGAGCGGATCAAAGGATCTGATTTTAATCAGATTGCTTCCTAAGTTAACGATCAAAGGATCTGATTTTAATCAGATTGCTTCCTAAGTTAACTTATTCTAAAATAAATTTGATAGACTTCACTATAAGTCGTACAAAGAAAAGCAAAAATGATAAAAGTACAACTTGCCAAGTGAATTTTCATGTATCAACAAGTTGTGTAATGCATGAACACAATAAAATAATTTTAGGCCAAAATAAAAAATACCTTTGTTTCCCCTAACGCGACCGACCCAATTAAATCGCACCGACTGAAAAGATTTTTTAAATAAGAAGATTCAATTATTTTTTTTATTGTTAACTAAGTTTCATAAAATACAGTTTCATCAAAATCAGTTTTCAGCAGAACGGCCGACATTGTTCTACTGTGATTTGTTGAAGAAAATCGCGCCAAGATGTGATTACTGAGAAAAAATTCTTAATACATGTAAAACAACGGCGACGTCTCAATCTTATGCCTTTAGCTAAGTAGAATTCTTCACTCTTGAAACAATTTGATAGTAAAATTTACCACGACTAATTAAGAGTGTTTCGGAGGTGTCTTGGCCTCTTCATGTGAGTGTTTTTAATCCCTTCGAGTTTTGTATGGACGACATTTGAACATTTCCTCATTGCTCCAAATTAGGACGTACTCAGCACTTTTTTGCCATTAAGGAGTAAGGGATCTTTTTTGAGCCATCAACTTTAGCGGGACTGGACATAAGTTTTATGGTTCTTTTTGAAAGACTGTTTTCAACGTTCCTTATTGGTATTTTGGACCTGCGACTTAAAATTAGACACTTCTTATCTCTATAGCAAAATGCTCTAGAAACACTGCAAATCTGATGGCCCTCAGAAAGTTCATTGATTGTCTATAACTAAATTGGAACGTATTTTCAAAGCTGCTGTCATAAAATAAAATTGTTCACCTACCTACCGACCCGACTTGAGAATTCAGGGTCGGGTTAGGGGAAACAAAGATATTTTTAATTCCGGCCTTATATGAACTTTTTTAAGAGTGTAAGGGGATTTTTTTCTTTCAAAAATTTTCTCTTGGGGGAAAAAACAATATCTGCTACTGGTTTCTTGTAATAGTCGTTTGTCTTGCTGCCTCTAATATGTTTGAATTTTAAAAGTTCGACATGATGCTATTATCCGAGGTTTGCAAAATGGATGTTGATAGACAATTTCGCGGGATTTGGACCCGGACTACAATTAGCTTACATGTACATATATATAGACTTATATAGTAAAAACATGTGTTTTGTTTTCTTTGTAACTTTTTTAAAAAAGATTCATTTCCAAAATATTTTTTAACACATGACAGAGTGTCAGATAAATATTCACATAAAAATGGGGGTGTTCAATGTGGAAATCCTTGGTTATTAATAAACTTCTGACGTCATGACCTCCGAATAGCTCTCGCTTGGCTTAAACAAACCAAATGACCTCTCATTTCAATATGTATTTTTATGCATAATTTATGCTTGAAAAGCACCTTAATGCATATCATTGTAAACTTTTGACATTAAACTTTTATTATATACCCAGAAAGTTTCACAAACGTGAGCATGTTTTTATTTTTATCATTGAAAGGGAGGTATGCGAATTTCCTTTATGTGCTACTTTTCAGGCTTTTGACCTTCACTCTATAATTGTGGCCCTGATCCATTTACGTTCCTATGATAGTACAAAAATAATGATGACGTAGAAAAACTTGCGCGCCATCTAGCGTTAATTCAGGTAATATATGTTTTTTGCGCGCCATCTAGCGACTATTCAGTGAATAATCGTTGGTTTTGCATTGGTGATTGTTGGTTTCGCATCGGAGTCTGTTGATTTTGCAAACGAGTCTGTTGATTTTGTTTTTAAGGTTGTCTGTTTTGTATTTCATTATGTTTATAAAATTATTGTTAGTTTTGCATAAACGTCTTTTTTACCCTATCCGCCGCCCATAGGCGTACACATTGCAATATCAGTGGCGTCACAATGCTTTGAGACTTTTAATGTATACTTTATAAACAAGATACACGTGGAATCAAATATGAGGACAATGACAGTACATACATGTAGCATTGGTTTATTCAGTATATGCAAGGGTGTCTGCGGGATAAAACCCATTCAGACATAAATTCAGAAATGTTTATATTTCATCATGAAATAATTTATAAAGCCAGAAAATCCTGTTACATACATGTAGCTAGGTTGGCGATTAGAATATATTGGGTTCCTTATGACTGGATATCATAAATTTAACGCTAATACTATGTTTACATTTAAACTAGTTCATTTAAACAATAAAATGCTTTCTTTGTTTGTTATTACTAGAATTAACGGAAGCAGCTGTTGCAGAAAAAATACATAACCCGCGTAAGTGGGTTATGTAATTTAAAATTTTTTCTGCAATAGCTGCGACCGTTAATTCCAGTAAACACAAACAAAGAAAGACATTTTATTGTTTAAATTTATATCTGTTTAAATATTTAAAGTAAGATTAAAAAGATTAATTATTGTATTAATGATGCGAACGTCTTTATACGTTTCATTAATGGAACAGCCGCTGATCAAGAAATCTGTACAGGGGACATGCCGACTGCAGTTCATGCAGTGATTAACGAATGGGTTTCCGTAAGAAATAAAGGAGAAAATATTCAGCGGGTGTAAATATTTAATAATAATGGTATAATTGTATTTTCCAAAGCCAGAAAATCCTGCTTCAGAGGTTGGAGGTTAGAGTACAGTGGTTACCTTATGGCAGGGTATCATGGGCATAAGTCTGGTACTATGTATACTTGTGTGGACAAAATTCCGGATACTGTTGTTGGGGGCCATGCTAACCATAATGGCTACCTCTTCTATCCAGTGGAATCTCGCTGTGGATCGCTGAAATGTCCACCCTATGTAGAAGGACGAGAACTTACCTGTGCTGTTTGTTCTGCGCCATGAGTTTTAGGCACTATAACTGTTACAAGAGCAAGATACTCCAATAATTATTTGAATAAAAATTATGCTTATCAATCTTGCATGGCACGCATTTTTTCAAAAAATTATTCTAAAAGGAAATTTTAAACTTTGCATTATGCTTGAATCGACACATAAGGATATTGGTCTTGCAAGGCTAGGATAAAGTTATTTTAGATTCCCGATAAATCAAACAAACAATATAGATGTTATTTTGCTTGTTTAATATGGCGCTTCTGGCCGCGGTGATCAATTTGCTGGGGTTACCACAAGGCTGCCCCAAAATCAACAATCAATACAACAAATGTGACGACCCAAATCGGGTGGATCATGCACTGTGCAGGTCAAAAGTGCATGAACATCACCAATGCAATAATCAATCAAATTCAATCAATCAATTATTAATCAATCAGTCAATCAATCAATTCAAATATCAATCACGTCAATTACGTGTCAACCAATCAATTATTAATCAATCAATCAATTCAAATATCATCAAGTCAATAAACAATGGAATGAGCGTAAGAATCTGTGTTGTACTCGTCCAATTGCGTTGAGGTGCGACGGAATACGCCACTTGCAAGGGTCATGACTACTCGTGTCTACTTCGAGTAATCATGGAACTGCAACCGCCACCAATGGAGTGTCAATAACCATGGTGACGGCGGCAGTACCTCAACACAAATGTTCACTGTCGACCAGGGCCTGCTCATTCACCAATACAAATTTACAGAACAAGTAATTACACAAGATTTACAAACAGAGTCAAGAACTTGTCCGTATAAAACAACTTCTATTTAACATTGTTGATACTTACAGGCACTGTATTTTCCCATTGGTTGCTTGTATAAATTACCAAGAGGCTGTCATTCTTTTTATGGCTTTTAAATCATTAAAACACCTCTTACTAAGTTTCCTTGCGTGAAAAGTAATATAGAACTTAGAAAAAATAACTATCTTTGCAAGTGTTGCTTATAGATGTCTTAAATCGTTTTTTACTGAAACAAGCTTAAACCAAAATGGCATACCGAAATTGGAAAAGCCAACGATAATGTCACCTTTTAGCTTAAGGTACTTAAGCTACTTTTAACAATAACAATGCCTGTCCTAACACACACCCCATCCTCCAAACAGATCCCTTTATATACCTACCTATATAAATTAAGACTCTTCTTTAGTACTTCACAATTTATGAACCAACTATCCATCAGTAATAGGAAAAATAGAATACCAGTTAAGAATGTAAAACTATGTGAACACATGTTAATAAATTTATTTATGTATAAACGATATGCTTTTGAAAGCCACCAGTTCTCAAAATTATAATAACCTTGTTCTCCCCTGTTGCATTCTGATGGGAAATTTGTATTAGGTGCTTCCCTGACTGAAGTGAGCGAGATTTAATGTTTTATCCTACAAAAACGACAAATATATTTTATAAACTATCCAATACTGTCTAAACCTGCCCGCAATTTCCGTTAAAAAGGGTTTAAACCTAACGTCCCATTCAACCTCTCATATAAATCTTTGATTTAAAGGATTTCGCCCCTTTCGCCCTCTCCTTGACTGGGCGAATTTAAAACTGGGCGAATTCAAATTACATAGCATAATTTCTTAAACAGAACTATGAATGGGCGAATTTAAAACGGGGCAAAATGTTTGCAAGTGCAAAAGGGCGAAAATAACACTGGGCGAAAATAACCCTGTATACAGTATTTTGATCTCCTTTAGAAGAAGAGCTCCATATAAAGATATACAAAAATGATCAAATTTTAAAAAATAATGTATGAAATCTTTCTTTGTCAAGTGATAGTTGACAGCTGAAGATATCATATCCCAAAATTTAAGTTATATCTGTTGGTTAATAAAAACTAATTTGTTGACCCCATAGCATCCTTAAGGTACTGTGTATTTAGATTTATATTGCATCTTGTCAAAAGAGCAATTTAACTCCGTTAAAACAAAAACAAGAATTATGAGTAATTAAAAAAATTGCCTCGAAGAGAGTAGTTTTATCTCAGAAAAATGGTACTAGTAATTTATATCAAGCTTAGACACTTAACATTAAACCTATATTTGGTAATTAAGGAAGATACTAACTTAAACAGATCTGGTTTAAATTATTACATATCTTTGTTATGTTTACTTTAGATTGTTGAGCATATGGGATTTGATACACTGGTATTTAATGCAGAAATTAATACTTTGCCATATGCAAGTCTGATTAATTCAAACTAGGTCATTGTATGCTGATATACAGACATACAATTCTTAGTTGCCTTTATGCTAAAAAAGAACTGTATTTATTTTTATACAAATTTACTTGAGATGTATAATTCATTTCAAGAGTCTTTGTATATTTTATTTTTAAAATTTTGCCAAGAATTTTTGGTAAAACTTGATATAACTAAAATGAGAGTAAACCTGTCCAAAAGACAGCTTTGTAAAACTTATCTAATCAAACATGATAAAACATGTGCCTTATCAATTATGTAACCTTATATATAATACTATCAAATAAAAAATGGCATTTTACACAATGTATAAACATTTGAGAGTTTTTATGATTATGAAAAATTAAAGGATTTTTTGATGCAAACTCAACATCAGTCTGTTGTTTTATGTGTTTTGGTGCTAAACTACAGTATAAAATACTCTACGTTAAATTTTGGCTGTTGAATTTTGAGAGTTATGTTCTCTGAAACAGGTTGTAATGTATGACAATAACCATGCAAAGGCATGTATTTTATGGGCTTTTTAGTTGGTTTATAAGTTACTTGAGAACTATCTTAAACAATGCTTCTTATAAAATCAGTCACACATGCATGCAATTAAGGAATAACTGTCTTATTTTTCGAATTCATGAAGTGATCAATGGATTGGCTTGTGTGATAATTTGCATAAACGCCGAAGGCGTTTATGCATAAAATTATCACACAAGCCAATCCATTGATCATCTTCATGAATTCGAAAAATCTGACAGTTATTCCTTATATTTACATGCTTTGATTCCGCCAATCCACGGGCTCCAAGCCTGCTTCTCTCTAGGTATTGTCCCGCCCTGCACGTGGTTTTTTTTGGAACCACGCCAAAACATTCATGAGGAAATCAATTACATTTACAATTGGTAATTTTATCTCGGACAAAGACATTGGAAATGTAAATATGTTTAGATCAAGTTGGTGGGAAATGGACATACATGTACTCACTTATGTGTAACTAACAATGGATTGGTCTATGTACAACCTTGAATGATGAAAATAGTTAAATATCTGAGAATATAGTGTTTGGAGTATGTTGTAGGTTTGTGAGATTGAATACATTAAAGATGTGTTACAGTTGAATACTCGATTTATTTAGACATAACTCCCATTTATTACTATTAGCATGTGAGAGTGGAATGTTCCCAATTTATGACCTTTGATTTTGGAAAGAGTTATTTCCCTTTATTTAAAATTAATTTAAAAATTAATTTTAAAAATCCTATCTGGTAATTTTTTTTTGAAAACAAAACTTAAAACGGATTAGTATGCCTGACTTAATATTTCTGCGCTTGACACCCCCCCCCAAAAAAAAAGCGAATCGGGGATTGTTTACGTTTTACTCCTAAAATTAATTACTTACATTAAACCATCCCTTGACTCCCATATATATTTTATTCCTGTTATCTATAACTCAAATTATACCATATTGTGTAATTCATACAATCAGTCGACGTTTGATCTTAACAAAAATCTCGGGCCAAATCCAAAGAAAAATTACACCATTGATCGACACGTCTAATTTGGCTTGAAATTACAAATCTTGATAGTTACCCTTGAAATCAAACTTATTTCATTTCAAAAATTAAAACATTGCAACAATTCAACTTCATAAAATTTTCCATGACGTTTCGTTTTATCGATTCATCGAGAAAGGAAGAGGAGGAAACAACTAAATATTAGACAAATGGACCTAAATTATCCGAAATGATAGATTGTGACTAAGGGTGAATATAATTATATATTCTTATATCTGAAAGGACTTAAGATATCCGGAATGGAGGGACATAGCGTTACTGAATAAACTCACTTATCCTGAGGGCCATAAAACTTAGACGAGCTCACTTTTGATGTCAGTCTCACTTTTTTGAAAGGAATATATAGTGGAAAAGTGAGACTGAGATCAAAAGTGAGCTCGTCTAAGGTTTATGGCCCCCAGGCCAGACTCGTATAAGTGGTGATGTTCTTTTATAAAATTGGCACAGGAAAGTTGGCTTTTTGAAATATTTGAATAAAGATGTCAAATGACCTTTTTAGAAAACATATCCCATGGTAGGGTCAAATTTTGACTGACGTGTAAGGCTTGTATTTTTATTTTGAATTGATACTGGAAACTCGTTGATGTTTGATTATTTTGTTATGAATATCTACCATAACGAATGACAAGCACAGTCTTCCTTAGGAGTAGAGGTAGTGAAACATACATAGCATCTGATCGGTCAAATCTTATTTTATTTCAGCGAGAAACAACTGTCTACTTTAAGCATACCGGTATTAAACTTCAAGTAGTGATATATGCCAGATCATAAAAGTTTCATATTTTATTTGAATTTTGCATTTAGGTATTACAATTCCTAATCAATCACAATGAACGTCTTCATTTGGCATTTGAAAACAATCATGAAATTTCATTGGTTAAAATAGAAATGGTAAAGATAACAAACAGTATTCGATCCCAGAAGTATTTAAACGACGAAATTATGTCGATTTGTTATTTTAATGCAAATCCTTTTCCTGGAAGGACGTTTTGTTAAATGAATTAGAGTTTATATAGTGTGTATAATGACTTTGCTTAGGAAAACACTAAAATTCACCTTAAAGCAACTGGGACAAGTGCTACGGTTCCTGATATACCCAAAGCGAACCTCATGTATATTAACTGTATTGCATACTAGTATGCAGATTGCTACAACTGGACGACTCTGATTCTGCCAGCATATAGGA